AAGAGTAAGAGTAAGAGTAAGAGTATGAGTATGAGTAAGAGTAAGAGTACTAGTGGAACTAGTACTCATAGGCTCGACACAGTGACCTCTGGCTTGTCACGCCTCGTCAGTTAGTTTGAAGGCATGTATTGGGCTCGTCCCTGGATTCAGAAGTTCCTTGCTTCGCACGGATGCTGACGTCTAACAGCAATGTGTCACAACACCACGCAATTCTTCAACTTACTGGTGCTTAAGGGAGAGTGGGGGAGTGGATCCCTTAGAATACTCCTTAGATTACCACCTAGTATCCTATAATGGTACCTATATTCACTCCCCCAAACCCCCCCCCCTAAGCACCAGTAGGTCAAGGAGCTGTAGGAGCAAGATTTGAATCAGTTCCCTTCCCCCTTCCAGGCAAGCTTCGGCCAGCTGCGTTGCTGCCACAGCCTGCTGTCTAAAGTACTGTGTACCCTACATGTACCCAAACTTCTAATCTTAGACTGTGGGACTGGCTTCTGGGCTTGGCGTTGTGCCTCTGCAGCCCATGAATCTGGTGGCAGCTCCCATGTCTCTTCTGAAAAGAGAGACTTCTTCCTGGGCTCAAATGTGGCACTGGATGACATCATCTAAGAACAGAATTCCTGCAGTATTGAGAGCTCCAAGGGACTGGTGCATCTTGATCAGACCGAGCGCGTACCTTATGGCAGAAACCAAGAGCCCAAAGCATGGTGAAGCACAAGCAAGGCAACCAAAGCGCTCGTGCAAAGCTACCACAACGGCCGGCGAGCCTTTTACAGCCTGGCTGTTCAGAGCCACACTTTCGCGCTAGCTTCTTCCACAACAACTCTACTTGCCTGCAACAGATCTGTGGCGGACAAGGTCAGAAGCTTGGCATATGTTGCCGAAGTCAACGTGGCTGCGTGGTTCCTGCATTGCAGGGCACAGAGTCTGCAAAACTTGTAGAAGCTACGCGGCAAGCACAGACACTGGTCATGACAGCACTCCTGTTGGTATACAGCGCAAGTTCCTCAAACATGTCCACCGAACAAGCAATCAGGCGTGCACAAGTGACAAGACCCGTACAGGCATTAAAAATGTGGAACACGTAGTCCGCGCCAAGCAGCAGCGAACCAGCAGTCTGTATGAAGCTTGACATGTGACGTGGTGGTGCGAGAAGACCGAACTCGGGATACTGTTTTCCCGGCCGCGTCGCCTTCCTTGGAATTCGAAATTTAAAGATAGTAAGAAGCATAATTGTAGTAATCAGTGATAATCAATAATCCAGTAATGATAGTAATAATAATAATCATAGCAACAATCGTAATAATCATCATAATTGTAACAATTGTAGTATTAGCAATAGTAATCGTAATAGTAATGATCGTAATAATATTGATAGTAGTAACAGTCATCATAGTGATGATAGCAATAAGAATAATGATAGCAGCAATCGAAATAACAACAATAAGAACAGCAATAAACGTAATGGAACAACACGAAGAATCAGTCTCCAGTCCTGCAAACCTGCACGAAGAGATGGATCAAGCCAAGCAGCTTTGAAGGGCCGCAGAGCAAAGCTACCATGAATGGTAATGAAGACTCCTTCAGCGCAGCTGTTAGGGTGTGGGTTCACTTTTTGTTGTCTTTTTGTCAGACCCTTTCCCCTAGGGAATACCATGCTGGGTTTAGGATCAGTGAAGACTCCTGAGCCTCGACAAAAAAAAGGTGGGTTTAGGGTTTAGGGTTTAGGGTGAATCAGTGTGCACAAGCACCTTCTGCTTACCGGCTGGCGAGGGATCAAAAGAAATGATCCCTCAACCTTTGGTCCTTGCCTCGGAGCGATAAACTTCCACCTGTACCCCGGCTTCACATGGTTTAACCTACATGGTATGTAACTATGTTGTCATTTTTTGGATGCCATCTATGCATCTGATCTTCAAGTCACAACCCCTTTGTAACGTAGCCTGGGACCAACCTCCGGGAGCAGGACCTGTGACCCGCAGTAAGTTGACTAACCTTCCCCAAACCTTCCGATCAACAGTCGGCATGCAAAAGCATAGTAATCGTGCGCCTCTTCTGTTTATGCCTGGAGGAGGCCACTTGCAAATTAACAGGCAAGCAGTAGCACTCAAACCTTGAAGGCAGTCCAACACTGGCATGATCTTAGCTGGAGATATTTGAACGAATTCTGCTTGTTTGTCGTGCCGTGCCTTCTGCTTTGCGACCAGCAAGGAAGATTTGCTCGCCCTGAACGGCTACCTGCACAAACGGGTTTACGGGAAACAAGTAACTGTGCAAGCGGATGCTCTTGACGCCCAAAGTGGAAGAAAGTCTGCCCACGGCGGTCAACCTTTTCAAGTGCAACCTCTCCACTTATCTTAGCATCTGCAGCACGCATCGACAAATTCCGAGCATGGCGCACAGCTGTACATCCACTGCAAGGATCGACAAAAGACTAGCACCGCACAAGACCCTGCACATCGCCTTCTGATTGAAAGCCGCTGCCAACTTTCCTCCAAAGTCAACTCGCTCCTTGGGTACTTGTGCATGTGCACTTCGCACTCAGGCAGAGGATCGTCTGCTACAGCCAAGCAGCATCCATCAGCAAGCTGAAGAATGGATGACCCGCCAATGTCTCGCCCGTCTTTACCACGCGCAACTCTTGGATCAAGGTGCTTGGCAAAAAATCCAGAGCCAGTGGCTCTTTCACTTCCAACGGAGACTCTTGCGATCCCAGGACATCATCCAAGGCTGTGAGAACACGCCTGGCTGCAGGATTCGTGGAGTCGCTGTTACTCATAATATGGGGGCCTGAATAAGTACCAATATTGGGGTCACATTGGGATAACGGCAAATAAAATGGAAACTACTAAATATAACCCTCATATAATCCCAATATACTATAGTAGTTCCCATTTTATTTTCCATTATCCCTATATATAACCTACTATATTACAAGGGCGTGAGGCCGGGACCTTTGCAAGTGCCCTTTGACGTGGGTCTTGCGTAGCCACCGTTGAAGGTCTCGCTTCACATGATCCCGCTCCTTCGCAGAAGCTTCGCATGAGGCACGGCTCCAGAAATCGCAACAGGAGACGATAACAAAAACCCTAAACCCAAACTAGTAGTTCCCATGTTCTTTTTCTACTATTCCTATATAACCCTAAGTAACCACCATATAGCCCCTGTATAACATAACGAAGATCATGTGACAAATCCGGAGGCGGGCACCTTTGCTTTCTCTGTCATCAAGTTCAGTGTGCCTTGGGTGTGTCAGGCTGCATGAAGTATCCCGTGATTGAACTCGGGAGATTTGCAAGGACCTTAGGATTGATTATAGGGGCATAATATGGGGTTATATAGGGGTAACTGGAAAAGTACACGGAAACTACTATTTGGGGTCCAGGGCTAGTAGGGAATAGGGGAACAGCGTAAATGCAGCACTGGCACCACTGATGATTCCAATTTGCGCTCCCAGCATCGGTAGACAAGTGAGGATGATCGCCTAGGTCAGCCATTGGTTTAGGGTCTAAACTAAACTCCTACAAACTCCTAGTGTCAGCTTAGTAACCTCTATTAAGGAGTTTGGATTCTAGTTCAGGTGGCAAGTCATCGCACCTCTGCATGACCACCATGAGAAACCGCAACTGCGTAACAGCTAGAAGCAGGTTAAACAGTAATCCCATGTTCTTTTCCACCATGCCTTGCAGCCCCAGTATGTTCCGAGTTATTCCCTACTAAGCCTAAGCCCTAAATATAAAGAGTAGTTTCCATTTCCCTTTCCATTAACCCTAAAGCCATAATATACCCCTATAAAGTCGCTAGAAGCCAAGGCTGAAGGCAAGGCACAAGCATCAGTGCCTGCTCGGTTTCATTCTGGGCAGTGAAGGGGTATGGCGCAGGCGTGTACTGCGCGATGACCTCAGGAGCGCTCGGGATCCCTTGGGCTCTAAAGGCTGGTTTCTGGAGCGCAGTCAGGCGGCCCAGTTGAAGGAGATCCTCGACATGCATTCCGTAAGCGTTTCGTAGCAAGAAAGCACTACGAATGCCTACTGAAAACAGAGAACAAGCCGAAGTGCATGTATTGTAAGGGAACGGGCTGGTCTTGCATGCCATATTGGTGGAGCCAGTTCATCTGCCCCGATTCTTGGGCAAGACGGCCGATGTACATTGTCATACATGCCAGGGCATGGTTCACACCGAAGATGAAGACCACACACCTGGCATAGATTTAGCAGACCTAGAAAAAGTTCTGGACTTTTTATGGGTCACATGAGGTTGTGTAGGGATTCTGGACCATTATCATGGAAACGTATTTCCAACCCTAAACCCCCAAACCTATGAACATCCATGAACCATACCCAGGCACTGAAGGATGGTTGACAAATTCACTGCACGTAGAAACCCGCTTGCTGCAAGTCGGCTCTCCACAGCAGTGATGGCCTCACGGTTGGTTGTTATTTGCTTTGGACACTTTTCCTCTCGCCAAGGGTCATGGCTAGGTTATTTTACGAGACCTTTCCTCCACGGCACATGTCCGTGAAATGCATTACTGCACAGTCCGGGAATTGCAACCCTCATCAAGCAACGGCCCTTCAGGAGTCTCCCACTCAGAGCATTGTCAGAACCCTCAGCCACAAGGTGCCAGAGTCAAAAACCCTCCTTCCTGCAGCCTGCACAGGGACACCTGGAAACTACCTGAGATTGGGACTATAACATGGTGATACCACCCCAAAGAAATGGAGAATAAAACGGAAAAGAAAACTGAAAATGCATGTACTGTGCCTTCACGCAGGCCCTATATAGACACAGCGTCCATTTCATCATCCACATTGTTTTCCATTTGATTCTCCATTATCAGAATAGTTGTGGCAATTCTTTAGGCCTCTCCTAGACCCTAAACCCCTAAACCCTAAACCCTAAACCCCCCCCGCCCCCCGCTTTTGGCCTGTCGGAACTTTGCCGTCCGCAACAGCCGCAGCATGGTTAGCGCTCTGAAGTCGCCTTCAACAAGCTCTGCCAGGAGGACGAGGTCCAGGGTGACCACGAGGGCATCCAGGGGAAACCAGGTGCCTCATTATTTATAGGGTTTAGGGTTTAGGGTTTAGAGGATTATGTAGGGGACTACTTCAGGGCTTCTTAGGGGGGGATACTAGGAATTTATGACTATAGCCCATATAATCCCCTATGTAATCCCAGTGTCCATGTCGTTTCTCTTCTTCTTGTCAATTGTCTTGTCCATCTCCTTGTCCACCGTCTTTTCCATTTGATTCTCCATTATTGGGAGGGCGATATCTCTATATAGTCCCTAGATAGCGCTACATTCGATTTTCGAGACACAGACACAGGCTCAGTCAGTCTGAGAGAAGACGGTGTCTGCTGCGCTCGAGATTTCCATTATGTACTTAAACTGGCAAAATCTCATCAGGTGTATACTTGTTCTACCTCCTTATGTGAGCTATATTCTAAGCTCCTAGTATCCCCATTTGTAACACTTTTAATACTCCCCTAGAGAATCTCCTAAAGGACCCCATTTAAGGAGTTTAGACTATAGTATAGGAGGCCTGCGGAAGAACCCAAGGCCCCTGCAGACGTAGTGGAAGATGGCGCCCCATCGCGAGCCCTCTCTGGGAGCCAAGACTGCCAGGAGGAACATCATGCAAATGTCGGCCACCCAAAAGACTGGAGTTGCCTGCGACGCACCGGATCTTTAATGCTCCACGTGAAGGTTGCTCTGGTCTATAGTCTATAGGTCCTTGAGGGACAGTTGGGAGTACACTTCTTTAAAAGGGGATCCTAACCGAACGGGGAACCTACATTATGGACATTTGCGGGACAGCTATTTGGAACAACTACCGCATATTTTGCTGCAAGTAAATTGGCTGCTAGTACCACAGCAGTCCATGCGGACGGAAAAGGAATTCAGAGAATTGGTGGATGCGCATAATTGGACACGAGCGCGACTTGCAAGCGAACAGGCTGTGCGACGGCATTTGGACCTAGCAAGTACTAGCACTTGAAACCATATTGGCAAAGAGCCAGGCTCAACAAAATTGGTGACCACATAAGATACGGGCAGGCTAATTCTGGCAGAGTTGGTTGCGGGCACCTTGTAATAATCATCCCATCCGCTGCCGTCAGCTGCTGGCCATGCGAGGAGGAGAGGCAGCATCACTGCATCAATTCCCACCAAAACGATCGTAAGGAAATCCCAAATGAGGCGCCAGAGCCGCAGCACCTCCTGCTACAGTCGAACTTCAATAAAACACGAGTTCACTTCTTGAGACGCGATGCCTGCAGCTGCTCAGAGATCTGCATGCCTGAGTCCATAGCATGCTTGTCTGACACGTGTTCCCAAAAGCAAGAAGAGCACTTCTTGGGTCCCCAGCTGCGGCAGTCAAACTGAGTCAGGCCCAGCTGACTGGGCCGCTTGCGACTGACTCTGGGATTGTCCCTGTCACCTTACTAGCAGCAAGCGGTCGGCAACCAAAACTCAGCGATTTTTCCAGAATGTGCAATCTGTTGAGTGGTGTTGTCTGGTTGACAGGTTCATGCGGCTCCTAGTACAGGAGGTTGGATATGGCCAAAGGGTTCAAGCTCACACCGCTGCAAAGCAAAAACCGTTTTCTGCGCAGGAGCCACCCGTCACTCCCTGAGCTTGAGCGGGCGACTATCTCTTTCAGGCGTGCCCAACCAGCTTGCAGCTTACTCATCCTGCAAGGCTTCCTTAACCGAGCTCGGGGTCAACTTTCAACCGCCCTGAGCTCATCCCATCTTCAACCTCCTACCAGAGATCTTTGATTCTAGGTACGAGTACCTGGAGTTTGGCCACCGAAAGTAGAATGAGGCATATATACAGGGCCTGAATTGAAACAAAAAAAAAGTGTCCATTCCATCTTTCATATTCTTTTCCAGTTAGGGATTGGCCAAGTCGCGATAGAGGCTATCGTAGACATCGGTCGCCTCTTGCTCGGACAACACAAATGTCTCACCCCACTCATCCTCAGGTGGCAGATGGTGAAAGCAGAGACACAAAGCTGTATAACAGCTAGGGAGATGGCCAGGAGACGGAAACCTAAGTTGCGCAAGGCATGTTCAGGTTCTCACTGTTCCATTTTTATTCTCCACTATCCCTGTGTAAACCCCCTATATTAGCGCCTATATATACCCCTAGATTGACCCCTAAAGTGAAGATGATGCATGGATAGATTGTCTCCAAGCCGCCACCTTCGTCCTGTCCAGATCAAGCTCAATCCGAGGCAGGCAGACTCTGCATCCTGCCTCTCCCAAAGAGTAAGAGCTGATGGTGCTCTTGCTGGAGATCATGGAATGCCGTTTGGGAGCCATCTTGGTCACAGGTACCCCATTTGGCTGGATTTCGAAGCGCTCCTTATCATTCCGCAACTTCAAAGATATTCATGGACTTGGCAGCGTGAGCTGGCTGAGCAGGCCGCATGCTTCTCCTCAAAGAGCTGACCAACTCCTAAGGTCGCCTGCGTGACATTTACCCCCTTCACCCTTCACCCCAACTCAAAGCGCCTTGACCCAGCCTGCCCGAAGCAGTCTGGTTTGGGCGTCCGTGCCCCTTCTGTGGATGGAGCTTCAGAGATCGCTTGGTCCCCAGTATCCACGATGACGTCTTGAATGCCCTGCACGGCAGTCTGGACCGCCTGCAGCAAGCCGCAGGGCCACAGATTCATGCTGTCATTTTTCTTGAATATTATTGTTTCTTCATATGACTATTACTATAACTACTCTTACTATTTTTTCTAGTAGTACTAATATTGTAGCATCATTATTGTTTTTGCATGCTTTGGAGCTGTGAGCTCTGCCTGAAGCCCAGTCTCAATCTGCTCCAAATAGCCCTGAAGGTCTTGCACGTCAACCCGGAGGCTGCCTTAAAGGAGAGAAGGGCACATGGAAGGCTTGACATGATTGGAAGAGACTAATAACACCAAGCTGCCCAGCATCTGCAGGATTCCTGTCCTTTGCAGATGGCTCTGAAAGCTGGGCCTGACCAGGTTAAACAAAAGCAGTGGCAGCCTGCGTCTTGATTTAGTCCGTGGCCTGAACTTGCCCGTTAGGGGCTCTGATACGCCATCCCTCACGTTGCTGCCAAGCCAACAGGACATGCGACCGGACATTCATTTCAAATCTGCGACGCACACACAATTCTCAAAACAAGCTGAGCTAGGCTAACCTGTCCTTTATGCAACTCGCGGCATGCGCTGCACAATCGACAATGTCATCCTTCAGGCGACAGCATCGATCTATACAGGTGCTTTCGCATGGAAACATGACCGCATTTGTTCCGCAGGCTTAGCCATGCTTCCTCGCGGCATGAATCCTTTTGGCATGCGGGATTTCTGGAAACCGCGGCACGAACTAAACGCAACAAAATTTGCATCCTCCCCAAAGATCTCAGCTTCAGGGAGGACGGGTCCTAGCCCTGCGCAAGCGCAGATCAGGGTTCGGCGAGACAAGGCGTAAGAAGCACCCTCTGCACAATTGAAAACGAGACTGGTAACAAACGGGCTGCGCTTTTCACAGACTGACTTTGGGAGCGTCGTCCTCTTCCTGCACTGTGCTTCCATGATCATGTGTGTGAGAAAATCTACCTCATCCTTCATGTAAAAGGCAAGACAATGAGAACACAGATTCCTCCTGTCCCATCCTTTTCCTGTATGCTGTACCTCCAACTGCTTCAATCGAGCTTAACAAGCAATGCGAGGACACAAAAATGACACAAGCAAAGGCGGCGGGGTGCGATTTTTCTTTTCATAGCCTTACGGCAACGGTGAACTTTTTGCAGACAAACATCACAGCTACTGGGGCCGCAGCGTCTCTTCATGGCTTTGTACTTGGCGATGTACTCCTCTCAAATGCGCCAGCTATGAGGTGCGCCCAGTGCATGCATGGACGCACAGGGAGATCTGCACAAACAAAAAAAGGCATGCGCTCCTCGCTGTGTGGTAAGTGACAGTTGCGGGCCAAACAGTCTGCCTTCGAACAAGCTGGATATTTCTCTGGATCCGAAAAGTACCTGGCAGCTCAATGGCAACGAAAAGCTGAAATGATCGGAATGTGCACCAGGCATGACTCCATAACTAGTGGCCTGCTCTGGAACAGGCAGGGCTGGCAGCAGCCCTCACAGGTGAAGAGCTTCGTGTGATCATCTGATCAACAGCAACTGCCAGACTGCCTTGGCATGCTGCAGGTCAGGACTATCTTCGCTGGAGCTTGACCCCCGCGCGTCACCAATCCTTGGACATCTGTCACTCTGAAAGGCGATTCTCCAGCGCAAGCTTGGCAGCAAACTGCATGTACTCTCGGCTCTGCACGCAGAGTCGTCACCAGCTTGTGTTTCCACATCCTCCACGCCCTCCCCTTCCGGCCTCAGTTGTTGGGATCCGGGAAGCAATGCAACATCAAAACATCCTTAGATTTTGGCACAGGAAGCGCTGGCTTCTCTACATCGGTGTGAGGAGCTCCTGCCACACCTCCTCAGAGTCCAGCTTTGCTCCGCAGAATTTCTGAGTGTGTCGAAACGCGAAAGGCCATGATGTGCCATCCTGGAGCAGAGTGCGGCTTCCGCACGACCAAAACATCCTCCCGTAGTCATCCAGTTGCAGCGAGCTTACAACACGGCTACCCAAACCCAAAGATGAAACTCCAAAAGCAGTCCGGAGGCTGCATTGCGCCGCCGATGAAGGTATTCTGCACCTCGGGGCAGCTGGCACGCCCGCGCGCGGCTGGCACAGCTGGCGCCGAGCCTGCAATACCTCCTCTCGTCGCCCATCCAGGCCGTCAGAGGACTCCACAGCTACAGCGGTCATCTCGGGGCCTGCCGCGATTCCAAGGTCCCATCCTTCAATTCGCTTCGAGCATGGCCTGCGCCCTGGGAGCAGAACAGCGAGTAGCGCCTCTGCGCACATCCCAACAGCAGCCATGTCTCTCAGTCTTCATTTGGCTGGAGGACCAACTCTGGTGCACGTTGACTCGAACTCGTGGCTGATCATCAGCTTCTATCTGCATCCTCCAAGAGAAGAGAAAGGACAGGAGTCAACTGTTTAAGTCATGGCCCAGTGCAATCGAGCTTCGCTTGCACCGGCACCGCCCCCAATCGTAGGATTTTGAGCATGTTGCCAGGCCTCAAAGCGTCAAATGCGTAGAACACTTCTGCACCAGTCAAATCCACACAACCCAACCAATATATATATATATAGATATATATATAGAGAGATATATAGATATATTATACCCTAAACCCTTATTATAGGGATCCCAGAAGTGGACCCCATACACACAAAACTCTCAAAAGTTCCAAAAATTGTTGGATTTGGGAGCACGACTTCAGCTCGCCGGCAGGCACCACCCGACCGCCTCCAAGGCCCCAGGCACCTCCAAATCAAAGGGCATATGGGTTCAGGAAGCTTTTCGATAATTCTATTATAGCTTCTATGAATATTCTTGATAATAGAAATAGTAACTATATTAAAGCTTGTTCAGTAAAGGGAAAGGGAAGAATGCTGTTATTTACTAATTCCAATTCATTTGACTTGGCTGTAAAAAGTCCGGGATGCCTTTGCTGTCCTCCGACTGAGTCTCTCCAACCACCCGCACAGGGTGGTCAGCAGTCACGCTCCTTGCGGTACGTGCTGCCCATGAGTAAACAACCTTTGCGTCATGAACTGTCTCACGAACTGGGCCAGCGAGCATTTGCGTACCATCCGACATGGCCACGCGGGACCAGTTGCATGGTCCGGAGACCACCCTGGGCCCGCAATCAGCATGCAACACGTGGATGGGAGCAGGGCAGACCACTCGGCGGCCCCGCGTGCAGTCGTCAACTTCCACAAACTTGATGTTGCCAGCCAGGTGGTCATAGCCTCAGCAACCACTTACATCACGAGCCAACCCGGCTCAAACAGCTGCATTTGCAAGCGAGGCCTTCTCGGTTCCTACACACGTCTAGATTTCCGCAATCCTTGCTGAATTCTGGGATAGAAGCTGAGCCGCAAGGAGAGGCGGAGAATGAAAGATGGCGCAGAAAAAATTGAGAAGCTTTAGGGCAGGAGGCGACCGCTACTCAGACTAATCCCCATGAACTTCTATGTAACAAAACCCTCAAGTTCTCATGCTGCCTAGGAACAGAGAATCCTTTCTCCAGCTGTCAGCTCTGACGCAGGCTTTCCTCCAGAAGAGCCATCCGCATACACCTGACGCACGCTCCAGCAACCACAGCTGCTTTGATGGATCACCTGACGGTCCTAAAGGGCCTTCGCAGACATGGGCAGGCAGTCACAGCGAGGCGCCCCGCTCTGAAGCAAACCCAGCCTGGCGGAGTCTAAGGGCAGCTACCTTTCAAGCGATACCGAGTCCACAGCTCCCAAGGGGCCTGTCCATGTTCGGGGGCGCGCTCAGGGCCGAGGGCGGGATCCTCCTCAACCACCAGGGTGACAAAAACCCAGGCTTTCATCGAGGATGGTTTGACTTAGCTCGGGCGAGGGCTCGGCTCCCCTGTGCGGTGCTGCCGGCACTTCCGGATAGGCCGCGTAAAGGTAGGAAGACTCCTCGCCTCACCGCTGGCAGCTGCTTAGACCATGGCACCCTATGGAGGTGTAAGCTTTCCTGGGATCCCGGCCATCCTCCTGACATGCAAAGAGACTTCCCATATTGCTATGTCAACTTTGCATGATCCCTATAATGGTTTATGAAGAAAGGCAAGGCCGCCAGTGTGAAAAGCTTTGCAAGGAGCTCGCCTTGGGGACGCTAGACTCTGTCAAGCGCTCAGCCGTAAATTCCTGAAGCCAGGCTTTCAAGGCAAAGTGCTGCCAGAGCCAGGCATTTCCGGCTCTGAGCTTCCCTCCGCTTGGCAGCGCTTCACCTCAAAAGGCCCACAGAATGTGATGGGCGTCATGTGAGCCACAGTCTAGACTCCCAGCATCCCCCTTAATGACCCCTATAGTAGTCCCCTATATCCCCTATATTTTAGGGAGTTTGGACTTTAGCTCATGTAGAGCCCCATGTGAGGTAGTGCTCCATAAGCCTTCTCGTCAATGATGCCCGTCTTGAGCCTCTCCTGCGTGTTGAAGTCGGCCATCCGGTCCCGCCACGAAGCCCACCTGCTGGGTCAGTCTGGATAAGCATATATAGTCCGTATAGAATGCAATCTAATCCCTATATAATGTAATAGAATCCCTAGATAATCCCTAGATAATTCCCATATAATCCCTACATAACCCCTATGTAAATGGTTTGATAGGCCTGAGGCTGCCCCGAGCCTTGCCAGGCACAGAGCCACAATGGCGATGAGCAATGTCAGCCTCGAACACTCAAGGGAAGCATCTCATGGAGATATGGTAGTTTCCCAAAATAGGGGGACCCCAATATAAACCCCAAAATACTGTAATCCTGATTATGGGGACCCCCAGAAAGGTACCCCTAATTTTGGGAAATATGCATAACTTGCGGCTTAGGTGCTGCTCCATCAGCACCAGCAGGTATCCCCTATCCTGGCCCTTCTCCTCCAATATCCGTATCAGTGCTACCTCACAAAAAGCCACAAAGTACATGGTGCGGACTGCGCTCTGCCGCACTGTTTCTGAGATTGCAACGAAAAGCGGCACAGCAAAGAAGCCTTACGCGCGCATGAGCAAGCTATGATTCCAAGTGATTAGCAACGTAGGGAATAAGGAAATATATATATATATATAACTATATATATATATATAGAGGGATTAATATAGGGGTTGAATTCCCTGCAAAACCCCCAGTGACTATGAGCAGGCTTTGGAGCAAGCTTGTGCTCAGGTTGCCGATCCAAGCGGCCGAAGGAGACCGTGGATGCCACCAGCGTCTGCAGGCGATCCAGAACAGTCAGGGACAGAGCTGTAAGGAGGAAGATGTAGACTGTGGGACCTGAAGATACTGCGTAAAAAAAGGGACACACCACGGGGATTTTGAGGCACCCACCAATGTTCATTTGTTGAAGGAAGATGTCACCACTTCCGGGTGTCAGGCTCATGGTGGAGAAGAGTCCTGGCAAATGCGCAGGAAGTCTAGCAAAGTCACCGGCGCAATCGCAAGCAGGCCATCTTTCCTGCCATGAAGCCATACCTTGGCTCATGACTACACCACTGCAAGAGCTTACTTTCCGAATTCCTTGCTGGAGCAGCAGACATGTCCACTCAAGCATTTGCTAAGCCGCCATGATAGCACCACGCAGTGGAACACAGTGTCAAGAGCCCATCTGACTCCACGGCCACACTGAGCCTTTGTTTCGTGAAGGAGAAATGGTGTTAGGAATAAGGGTCTAAAGCGCCAAGCTGGAGGGCATGGAGTGCGCTGAACACGGTGAGATCACTTAGGACACTGCCTTCTGCAGCCATTCATGGCATCCAAAAAGTCGCCAGGCGCGGAGAACCACCACAAGAATCGGGATGAAGGTGTTCAAACGCGTTGCCTGGGAAACGGCAACGCAGCAGCGATTGGCAGACCATTTGGCAGATCAATGCCGAGGCACATTCAGGAATGCTCCTGCAGCCTCTTTTCCTGTGAGATGATCATCACAGTGCTGGATCAGCTGCAAGGACTCAAAGAGCCTGCGAATGCAGACGCAGGTAAGCCTGGCCACCTCTTATGGGGAGTTCCCAAGGTCCCATTTTGGTACCCCTAAGTATTAGGCGCCCTATAAGGAAAGGGCCATAATTTTGAGAACAACCCTTTTGCCGTTTAGCAACTCCAGCGGGGGAATTCCCAAGCAAGGCCAGGGCCCCCAAAATCTTCAAGAGCAATTCCACACTTGGCCCATATGGGATTTCCCAACATTATGGGTACCCTTCTTGGGGTCCCCATAATGCGGATTGTAGCACATTGGGGTCTGTATTGGGATTTATGGAAACTACCATATTTAGATGAATCAGGATCAGCTGTGGCGGCGCCTCTCCCGCATGAAGGTCTCCGCTGCCCGGTTCTCGAGACGCTTTTCATCCTTGCCCCAGAGATCATCTACCTCAAAACCAGAAGCCCAGGCAAAAAACACAAAAAAGAGGTTCCCTGGTCAGCTTCCGTATCATCATGATCCATTCTCTTTTCTGTTGGATTCTCCATCCTATTGGGGTTGGGGTAATATTGGGAACCCCCTCAATCAGATCCTGAGGGCCTCACACACTCCTGGTAGAAGACCTCGTGGCGACTCGGCTTTGGAGCCGGGGGTTTGTCTCCTCTTGGGCTTCCCTCGTGATCGCCCTGGTCACCCATAGATCCTGGCAAATAGTCTTCACTCCCTAGGGCTCTTACTGGTTCTTAGTAGGAAATAAGGGATTACAATATAATCCCGCTATATAATCCCTAAAAAAAATAGATTCCCACATTTCCTACTAAGCCCCAGCAAGTCCTGCGACCAGGAGGGAAACTGTCCAGATCAGAATGAGGTAGCACACCTGGCCCATTGTTCGGGCGAGAGCTAAAATCCCAAAGCTTCTTGACATCTTGCGCAGCAACTCAGGCTTACTGGTTCTTAGTAAGGCATAAGGGAATATATTATATAGGAATTATAATATAGGGAGTATGTTCCCCTGTTCCCTACTAAGAGCCGGTAAGCAGAAAGTCCATTCCCGCCTCCACTGCCAGCACCAGCAGTTCGTATCGCCGAGAGTCTTTCTGCATCAGCCTGAGCTCTGGAAAGAAGACTCGGGCACGTGCAAAGAACCCGGAAACATTGCCCCAAAATCCCAGTAAAAAAGCCGAAGACTCTGACACAAGGTGCACAAAGCAAAGCTACAAGCGTTTCCTGCACTTCCTGGTATTCTATAACATAGCATATTATAATGTGATATGCTATATTAGAATACAATATAGAATAGTATAGTATACTACCGTGTGAGGCCACTGGGGGCAGAGCCGATGGAACCGGTCCTCGGGATTCTTGGCGAGCTCCTCGAACGAGGTCTCCATCTCATCGCCGCTCTGCCTCATGGACTTGTGGGCAATAATGGTATTCTATATTGAAGTAGATTATAATCTAGCATACTATATACTAACATAGTATACTATGACAGACTATAGTATACTATAATTTTCCATAATATAGAAATTAAAATGTACTGTATTATACGATAACACTAGAGACTCTTAAATCACAAAGGCAAAGTGAAGAAAAACAGCAAATGCTAGGGAGAGGCTTGTTCAGAGAGAACATGGCCAAAGGCAGCCGCTCAGGGGCAGTGACCCACGTTTAGATGCGCAGTGCTTCAAATCCACAATACACAAACTGAGCTCAAGATTTGGGTTTTACCACAAGATTCCTGTGAGTGGATTCTGCTGCCTAACTACGTGTACATGCCATGCTTTCCCATGAGTTCTCTTGCTTGACTGTACGCGGCACGCTGCGCGGAGAGAAACCAGTGCGCAGAACACAACAAGCAAACAGTCAGCTGCGGAAATGCCGAGATTCTCATTATTCCGTGGGCAAGGGTCTACCCGGCTCTTGTTCGAGGCCGCTCATTAACGACAGGATGACACCATCCATGTATACTGCATATTGTACGGTGCGTTGGGCGCCTCAGCGCTCCCAACCAGTGGCCCGCATACTCAGCATCATACGTGATGCGTCATGAGCCTGCTACACTATTATTCCAGGAGGTGAAACGTCAGCATCTGGAACCAGCCAGGTACGCACAAATGCGTCCATCTGTCAGTGCCCGTGCCCGGTTCGCCGCATCGGGGATGGCCTGATCATCTTTGCAAAAGGAGGTAAGGCAACGGAGGCTGAGACGCCCACGCTCGAAACTGCTGGTCATTCCACCCGTAGGATGTGTCCACCTCGATTTGGATTGGATGATCAAATCAAGTAATAACTGTTGAGGTAGCTTGACAGGGATGCATGCCGATCAAGCCTCCCAGGAGAGGTAACGAGTCTCCTCAGAGCCCTTCTGCTGGTCTTTGGGGATATTTATTGCGTTCTGTTTTGCAGAGAAAGCATGTTCTTGGCGGTTGTTGCTGCAAGTGCTCACTTCCAAATGCTTCAGCGGCCCTCCAAAAGCTGCTGCAGATCGATGCATTGCTTCCACGGTGATATTAACAAATAACCGTTTCATGCGGGCTTTCTCCATATCTTCTGGGGCGGGTGCAGCAGAAAAGTAGTGGTTACAGCAAAGGCCTGCGGGCATATTTTCTGGAGCCTTGTGAAGGCCTGCAGGCACGCTTCCTGAGCTTCCACGGTGCGATGTTGCCCCAAGCAGCGATTGAGACCGAGAGCTTACGACAGCGTTCTCACGGTAGCATGACGGAACCCGACGTGGAGTCAGTTCAAAAATGCTGCAAAGCCTTCTACACAGTATACCATGTAAGCTGGAACGCACCGGGCCCAAACGAACAACAGTTCACAGACATCAAGCCATGGCACAGGCACGCTTCAAGAGAACATCCAGGCAGTGGGCATTCTGCTTTAAGTATATTGTACGATATTATGCTATAGTATGCTGCAATATGTTATAAATATACTATGATGTACTCTGTGGACGGACGCTCCGGCGCTCTGGCTCAGGCAAAGCTTCAAAACACGGATTGCCCAAATTCGCAGAACTTTAAACTGGTCATCGAGAGATCTTCCTGAACATGCCAAGGATGTTGTGCAGCCTTTCCTTTACCCTTGCCATTTCTGTCTCATGCTGTTGCTTGAGTTGATGTGAATGGTTAGGGTGATTTCGCAGTAGTCATCACTATCGTGTCGCTTGCAATGCCTCAAGATCGCGCACGAAATGCACCATGATGGAAGGTGCAGAGCTGCAGAGCTCAGTCAAAGCCATGCGTGCTTGAATCGTGAATCGCAGTTTCAGGTCCTTGTATGTCAAACCATGAGTCCCGACTAGTTCACAGCTTCTCAGCTTCAGTTGTCTTGCTGCTGACATCTCAGGCATCTGCGGTGCCGCTTTTGATGACCTGCGCATGCTCCACCACCTCTCCTGTTCGATCATCCTGGCGAAGCAGACAATTCCTTCTCAGCTAAAGCTTTGCGCCCTCGCCTTGACAAGAACCACCATGGCACCATCATTGTCATGCTGGTTGCAGTAGTTGGTTGCCTCAGTGGCAGAGAGCTGCAGTGCCCGTCAGGCATGTCAAAGAGGAGTTAACTGAGGGCGACGGCTGAGAAAACCGTCAACAGCTGGCCAGCAGCAAAATATTCGTAGCCATGCTGAACCTGGGCCAACTGCGCTTCAGCTTCAGGAGCCCCCTTTGCGCTACAAGCAAAAGACTGACCTTGGATCAAAAACACTGGGGTTGCAGGCACATTCATGCGCACGAATGATCAACTTCAAGGAGTTCCGGCGGTTGAAGTCCTCTGGCAAAAGACTCCATGATCTTCTACTGGGACAACAGGCTTCATCCATTTCTGCGGCGGTTCCATCTGCTCTGTATAGGATTCTGAAGGCTGCTATCACTGGGCAGAGACCCTTTTTTGGCTCTGTTCTCCCTTGTTTCGTACACCGACCCTTTCCCAAGTTCGTCTCTGTGGCTTCTGCCTCCCTCAACGGACCTTCACATGCTTAGCTGGCCGGTCGTTGCAAACAAAGGTTGCACTCAAGGACTATTGTCTTGGCTCTGGCTTATTCTTGCTGTCAATATTCCATGTGATCTGATCCAAACGGTCTCCAAAGGTACCCCTGCCAACAAATCTAGCAGAAAAAGTGTTGGCTCAAAAGGCCTGAACACGGTCCGGCCCGAAGCGGCAAGTGTTCTTGCCCCTTGGAGAGACCTGGGTGCAAATATTGGATCCTACCAACAGCGTCAGGAAGTGACGTCGTCCAAATTGCGATCTTCCACTTCTTCAGTCTGATGCGTGCCTACTTCCAGCTGCTTACGGGGTTCACACATTCAGGGGAAGGTTCTCTCAATCTGTCTTAAGATGGGCCGCAGCAACTGGTAAGTAGCAGGCCTGGACACCCAGGACCTGGTCGTTGTCCGTTGGATCCGACCTTAGCAGGGTGGAAACTGGTGAAAACAAGTCACGGCAGCGCTATAAGGCCAGACCATAAGGCATCCAGCACCATGCGATCCCGACGTGTGGTCCTGAGCGAACTGTCTGTAGTATAGCTGCCTTGCTATGCTTTGTCCATATGTCTTGTCCTTTCGTTGATCTCCCCAACAACCTGCCAAGGGCGGCAGCTTACACCATTTGATGAAGGCATGCAGCCACAGTGGCTAGTCACTAGAAGTCGTCATGATCATGCTTCATCGCTTGCCCTCCCCCAGGAACTCTGGTTGAATACAGCTCTGTAAATCCCAACTCCTGAGTTCTGCTACAAATCTTTCTCTCGGAGTCAAAGCCTGAGCTTTGCAGCTCACGGCATGGAGGACGCCGTTTGGCTCTGCTGGTCTGCTTGGGCATTTTTGCTCAGCAGGACGGAATGCATACAACTCCATAAAGAAGAAACGGCCGTTAACTCCACAAACGCCCCCCCCCCCTAAACCCTAAACCATGACCCTGAACCCTATAACCCTAAACCCTAAAACCTCAAAACATAAAACCCCAAAACCCTAAATAGCCTAAACCCCTAAACCCCAAACTCACAGAAACGCCTCCAAAAATTGCAAAGGCACCTGGATGGGCTTGGGAATCCCCCGCAAGTCGTCCAAGGACAGGATGGAGTCCCCGATCCCACCGTGGATGCAGAGTATAGCGCCTCAAGATAATAAAACATGAGATAGTACAACATAAAGTATAAAAAAAAGATAAGATAATGTAGTATGATATAACATAGTATAATATACACTAAAATAACATACTATAGTATAATATACTATAACATAACATAACGTAGGATAATGTAAAATCTGTAGTATAGCATAAGCTGTCCCAGGGCTTTGGGGGAATCCATATCCTCGCCCCTGCCTTCCACCAGAGCAGCAATGGGCAGGAACTCGAAAACGTCGTTCACTCCTCATCATCCGAAGCTGGGCAGGAGTATAATTAATATGATGTAATATAGTGTAATGGAGTATAGTGTGATATAGTAGAATATATAGTATAATACAGTATAAGTCTTTATGTGATGTAATGTCTGCACTCTTGGGATACGACGCTCCCAAATTCCGTCACCATCCCGACCGAACTTCCTCCACACACTCAGCATATCCGAGGGAAAGTAGTGAGCACATGCCAACAACCCTGCCTGGTGCAATCCGCGTGGAACCCATAATTTACGTTCATCAAGCGGTCCTCGAAGGCAACCCTGCTACGCTGTCAAACAGCTGATACCAGTGGAATTGCAGATCGAAGCAGTCTCCTCATGGTTTCCTCTTATGAGGAAAATTCGCTGTGGATACAGGATCTTCAGCGAGAAGAGGAGAGCGACGACGTCACACCTCGCAGCTTGCATGATGGCGATGAATCTGCACTGCACTTCGTGGCCCAGGGGCCCCACGAGTACGCACCTCGATCGACGAAGTCCCCCAAGAAGACCTGCACACAGGTCCACAAGCTCACCAAGACACGCCGAGTCTGATGAGAAGCCGGCATAGTTCATGGAGAAGATGTCTCCTCGGCGCTTGTCCTTCAAGTCTTTCAGGCAGCGACTTGCGCTTTATCGAAAATCTTCTGAGCAGCTCGGCCGGCCAGGAGAAGGCGTTGAAAAACTCCAGCAGGTCCAGTAGCTGCCTTTCAGCAGCTGTTGCATCATTCCAGAGCACTGCCAATTCTCTCTGAATCATTAGTCACGCACCCGTGGATATCACCGTAGACTCGGCACGGAAATCGGACCTGACTTGCAAGCCCCACTTGCAATCGGCCTCAAACCTAGGAAACTTAAGAGCCTCTACCAACGAATCCTCCAAGCGTAGCAGTTCGACCACAGTGTCACCTTGGAAGGCTGTACTCTGGCTGCCTCTTTACAGGACATGGTCCCGACAGAGGATGTAGAACTCCCGCGCGGAGACGAGCTGCAGGTTGGACCTGACACGTCCAGGCACACCAGGCGACATGCGGCTTAGGGATAAAAAGTTAAAGGTTCAGGGTTTGGGATTTGGGGTTTAGTGATTAGGGGTTTTGGGTGCGATGGCGAACCTCCATGAATCAGCCATAGGCTGGCTTTTCTCGTTGGACCTCGGCTCTTTCATGAAGAAACTGTTGCATTATGATACCATATGTGTAATCTATACTATTTTTCGCTGTACTATTTTATACTTGATTATACTACATGATACTAGACTATACTATACTATATCATGCTATACTATACTCGATTTTACTATACTTTACAAGTAGGCTATACAAGATTACTATACTAGACGATACTCTATTATAGTATACTAAGTTATACTATACTCTACTGAACTAGGCGATATTTTAGATTATACTGTACTGTTTTGTGTTTGACATAGCTTGGCTAGTGGCATGTCCATGAGATTCCTCACCACACGGAGCGCCAAGGCCTGGCTGCCGATCACAAATAGTCCCCCTTAGGTAGATAGAATTATAGGGGTTATATAGGGGTTATATAGGGATAATGGAAAAGAAAATGGAAACTACTATAGTATGATAGGGTATATATTGGGGTTATAGTCCCCTGAGGTAGATAGACTATGGCTTTGGGTATATTATGATAAGATCCCCATATACCCCATATTCTATTACGTAAGGGGGACTATAAGCTAGAGTCTACACTCCGTAAAGGGGATTATATAAGGTTTAGGTTTTAGGGTCTAAACTCCTTCAAGCGGGTTATACAAGGGATTATGTAGGGAAATGTTATAGGGGTTAGAAGAAGAGGGATACTAGGAGTTTAAACAATAGCTATAGAAACCCTACCTTAGGTAGACCACCCACACTGCAATAGTGACTATAAGGGATAATGGTAAGCATATTCGTGTCCTCTTATATTCTATCAATCCCCAATTGCAGGTTGGGGATTTACTAAACCCCTGAACCCTAAACACTGAACCCTAAACCCCTGAATCACTAAACCACCTACCTCATCACGGCTCAGTGGCTCTACAGCCCAGGCCTGCACCGCGCCTGACACAGGGAAGTATCAAAGGCCCAAAACGACCTGTATAATATGTTATAGGATATTATACTATACTACATTACATGGTACTATGCTATAAGATGTTACAGTATACCATTGTATACCCCTCAACAGCCATACAAGATTCTGGCCTTGGTCACCCCAGCGCCACCTGGGTCAACTATTGACAAGCTTGTACATTGTACAAAACCTAGAGCCCATTTAGGGTTTAGGGCTTAGGCAGGGCTTCGGGATTAGGGTTTAAAGGTTTTGGGTTAGAGCCCCGTATAACCCCGTAGAATACCTATCTAACCCTGGTGTAACCCCTGACCCTGGGACGCTTACATCAACTTATATCCCTAGTATATACCCTCCATGTAAGGGTCCCCAGAATCCTCCTAAAAGACCTAAGGGCCCAGATTAGGGGCCCATACTTGAAAACCTCAGATTCAAGGCTGTTGAGGGTTCGACTCGGAGAGCCCGCGGGAACGGCCAATGGCCTTCGACGGTAGCGAGGGCCTCGAGATGATATTAGGGTCATCTTCTATCCATATCATTCCACTATTACAGGGCCGAGGGGTCCACCTCACAGAAACTACACGAGCTTAGCAATGGGGAGCAGGAGGTTGGATATCGCCAAAGGGCTCACGCCCGCACTGCTGCAAAGCAAGACGCCCTTTCCCGCAGGAGCTATCCGTCACTTCAGGCGACTCCCGTCTTGGGCCTTTCGAACTTCTCCCAAGAAAAGTGATCTTCTGCCCCATCGGGGCTGACAATGCGAATTTCATTTAAGTTTTCCGGGATGTGGACGCTGTCGAGGATGTCCTCTATCACAGCAGCATCCAGGATGAAACGCGGCTGGATGATCGGCTTAAGGCGTCGACGCGCCACAGCGGCCCTCTGCAAACAATACAGCTTCCAGGGCTCCGTCGTGAACAACTGTTCACGGCCGTCGGCTGTACGAGCCCTGAAGATCAAAATAGGAGATTCGTGACCTAGGTAGCAGGTCTCGGCATCAGCGTTGACCTTGACCTGCTGCCACACCCTGCGCAGCAGGATGTTGGCAGCGCGGCCTTCCGGCTGCTTATCCGAAATCTCAGCGCCGGCGTAGCCAACAGAAAATGGAGAGATTCGCCCCATGTCAGAGCATACGGTGACATCTTCTTGGCGCGGGCATGCCGTCCACATGCGCTCTGATGTCAAAGAAGCCTTGGATGCCTGTTGGCAGGACTCAACTTCTGTAGTCTGATGCGCGGGCTCTGGCATGGATCGGAGGATTGAAAAAAGCACGAACCTATGACTGAGCTGCTCGAGCGGGCTGCCATCTGTTTCAGGTGTCAACTTCAGGTTTATTTCATATTGGCGTCTACATGGGGGCCTTTAGACAGGGGTTTCGGTTACCAAGATCCTCCTTTTGCCCATTAGGCCCCTATCTAACTCCAGTTTTCATTGCGTATTCCATGATCTTTCCATTTGATTCTCTGTCGTAGCTTAATCTATATAAGCCACACATAACCCCTTCTTGCTCTTCCACGGTTAATACAAGATGTCCACGCGCTGCGCCACTGAGCTGTGCGCATGCCGTTGCTCGCTGCAATGTTGGCACTCCCGACCTTGAAGGCTATGCCACATTAGTGCATGTACGCATGCACAGGATAGGGAGTCTCTAAAAGCAGGATTATGGCATTCTATTCTGGGAATCATAATTGGGCCGCCTGTTCATGGAAGCCCCCCACATATACATGTACCTATACAAATACATCTACATATACACATACGTATACCTCTACTTAGACCTATACCTATACCTGTACCCATACGTATACATACATATCAGATGTCGTAACGCAACAATTTACATCTGTCCTGGCCTTGGCTGGCGTCGGGCCTGCGCGGCATGCACCAAGAAAATAAGCCCCCAAGCCTTAGGGGTTATATAAATTTAGGAGTATTGTAGTCTTTAGGGTTTAGGGTTTGGGTCTAAAGGGGTGTATTCTCATTTCTAGGGTTTGGGGGTCCCCATAATATTCCTTCTTGCTTGTGAGGAAGGAAGGGAGGGGCCATCAGGCAATTTTAGGGAAATGATGTTGCAGACTTGATTTTGGGTGATCCAGTCCTCCGAAACCCGAAGCCCTAAACCCTAAACCCTGAACCAAAAGAAATTGCCGGATGGGGACGGGACCTGACAAAGCGGACAGCGACGCCAACTCGTCGGGCCTGGGAAGACATGCTTCCAAGAGTTTATAGTTCTACAAGCCTTAGGGTTTAGGGCCTACACTCCTTAAAGGGGGGCATATAGGGGAATTTTTCAGGGGGTCTGATTTGACACCCTACCATGTGAACACCCCCATGAGTTGAGCACGTGGCCCCCCAGATCTGGGTTGAGCAGACTGCTGCTTGATGACTTCGGACAAGTCCTGGCACATTAGCCCAGCACAGTACGTTGCTGACATCGAAGTCCAGGATGGTCAAAAAATTGTTTGAAATGTGCCTGCTGGGTGCGCAGCAGTGGCGAAGTTCCATTCAGCATCCTGCACAAGAAGCTGTCGCTCTAGACCTTCCCCTGCTCTGATCTGACAAACATGTTGCTTGGACCCTCAAGTTGTCACGCACAGCCGGTCCTGTTCTGCGCTGCATCATAGAAGGCTGCAAAGCCAAAAACTCCCGAATAGTATGAAACCAAAGCCTCGCACAGGCAGACTTCACAGACAAAGGACGCATTCTCCGCAGGCCTTGGCATTTGCCAAAGCATCTGCATGGCTCTCGCCCCGCAGCTGCTGAATGTGCTCGATCATCTTGGCTACCTGATAAAATGACAAGGAGCATGGAAGGAAGCGCTCCGACATGCTGCGGCCTCCTCAACCTCCAACTGGCCATTGCGGTTGTGATCGTAGTACAAGAAGATGAACTGCATCCTCACTGCTTAGGGCCGCTTTTTCAGCAACTCATGTGGCAGCATGTCCGCGGCCTCAGCTGGCCGGATGGGGACTCCAGCTTGTGTGGCGTCACCGGGCCTCACGAACTGACTCTCCGAATCCACAAGACGCTGCAGCATGTGCCACAGAACGCTGCATACGAAATCTTTTGAGCTCTCACTGCTTCTTTGTCGTGTACGTCGCATCCAGCGCTTTCAGAAGTTGATCTTCTGTCAGCAGCTCTAACCTCGGTACAAATCCATCCCTTCATCCCTTCCAGCTTACCTGCGCCCAGAACAGGCTCATTGAGCTTTAGTCTAAACTCCTAGCATCCCACTCAAGAACCCCTGTAGTACTCCCCTATATAATCCCCTTAATATAACCCCCCTTTAAGGAGTTTAGACCCTAAACCCTAAACCCGAAACCCTAAACCCCATGTAACCCTTGATCCTATACAACACCCCCACCTCCAAGGAGAGACAAAAGCTCATATGGCCAGGGGGCTGTTTGAGAGCTCCCACAGCGGTGGGGTTGCTGGCTTCAGAGCCCGCAACTAGGCCACGCTCCTGCAAGACTTAAGTGTAAGATGTAATCCCTTTCCCCCTAATAACACTAATAATATCAATCTCCTCCCAATATGATTGCCATGAATATTACTATTACTACCATTATTACTACTGAAGTAATTGCTATTACTAGTACTACTACTATTACTATGAGAGAAATTACAATATATTACTATATTACTATTAAACCATAAAAGTACTACATTTAAGGGGGGAAGATGTAGTCTGCAGGCCAGCAGCATGGCGCCTGAGCCCACGTCAGCCAAGGCCTCCAGGTGTGTTCATCCGCGGCCAAGGTGTCGAAGTGGCCAACCACCACCTGGGCTGCTTTTAAGAAGCCTTTTTTTAACACTATAGTAAGGAGACCTTTAATAAAACCCAGAATAAACCTACATTATGTTATTGTAACAAGGAAACCAGGTGTTTTACTATATGACCATAATATGGTGGCTGAAAATAAATTCCTCAACAGCAACACAGCCACCAAACCGCGCCGGGAACGGGTGATGGTCACGTTCAGCCGACGAGGATCTCCCAGGAAGCCCACCTTGCCACTGGTGTTAGCCCTGACAGTCGAGACGATGATGAGGTCCTGTTACAGGGTGCTAGCCACATGAGCCATAGTCTAATCTCCTAGTATCCACCTTAATAGCACCTATAATTGTCCCCTATAGCTTTAAGGATTTGAGACCCCTAAAATCTAAACCCTATATAGCCCCCTTTTAAGGAGTTCAGAGTATGAGCATAGCTTATGTGAACAAGCTTCCACTGTTTGCAAGGAATCTCGGTCCTTTTCTCGGCCTTGAAAGCCATCAACGCTGCTCACCTCCATCAATCTAACTTGAGCTATACTCTAAACTCTTTACAGGGGCTTACATAGGGCATGATATAGGGGAGCATTATAGGGCTCATCATGGAGGATACTAGGAGTCGTAGACTATAGCTCACTTGAAGGCCAAGAGCTTAAAGCTAGGATTCCTTATGATGGGGCTCCATTCCGTCACCCTCCCCTGTTTGATGCAAGGGGCGAGACAGCGTGAGAGCCACACCAACTGAGATCCCATGATTTGCGTCGTCAGTACACTTCACACGAAGAATCTATCTGCACAAGATTCAAACTGCAGAGGGAGGGGAACAGAGGCCTAGCAACTGTTGCAGGCTTAGCAGTAGCAGATTCGAGCGACAGAGGCTCTATGACTTAACTGTGCAACAGGGTAGCTACCTTCAATTAGAAGTGAACTTTCTCTATTGTTTCTATTAGATTCTATTATCACTAGTATTCTTGCTATTATGGCAGCCATTATTATTACTACTACTACTACTATTGTTACTATCCTATCCCTGCTTGCCCACTGGCCTCTACCAAGGCGACACCCACTGCGCCTGCAGCAGCCCTTTTGCCGGGCGGAGGGCAGCCCAGGCGACGTCGGATGAGCCGAGCCTATCCCCACTACAGCCGGGTTTCTGAAATTATTTCTACTTTTATTAGTATTTAGCATTGCTACTATTTATTGTTATTCGCTTAATTTCTATTACTAGTCATTATTGTTACTATGCATTATTAATATATGTTACTATTATTATGTTTCATTTTGAATATTTATTACTATTACTATTTGTCTTACTACTGCTAGTAACATTCTTGTTATTCCCATTGCTAGTACGGTTATTTCTGAAATGTTCATGTGGTAGTTTCCCAAAATTAAATCCCATTTTGGTACCCCTAAATATTAGGTGCCGTAGTATAATCCATAACCAAAAGATCCCCATCCCCGTATTCTATCTTCTTAAGGGGCTATGGTAGTTTCCCAAAATAGGGGACAGGATATAGCCCCCAAAATATTACAGTCCTTATTATGGGGCCCCCTAGAAAGGTACCCCTAATTTTAGGAACCCCCCATGTGTGACTGCAATTCGATGAAAAGACAAGGCATGCAGCTTGTAGGGGTACATTCCGACAGGGATGATCCATGCCAAAGGCAACAGTAGTCATTTAGTAGTTTCCATAATCCTGTGTAACCCCAGTATACTATTATAGTAGTTTCCATTTTCTTTTCCACTATCCCTAATTAACATGCTCTTTTCCATTCTCCCTGTATAACCTCGGTGGTCAGAAGGCTAAGAAGCCTGCGCCGCATAGGGCGTGATGACGCCGATCTCTGTTGGCGCAATATCGTTCCAAGCGAGAGCGCTGCCCAGCAAAGCCTCGACGGCCTCCACTTCCGTTTCCTGGGTTGCTGCTAAGGAACTTAATTTAAGTTATTACTGTATTGGGGTAACCATGGTAATCACTACGTATACCCATTATGGCATTTTGATCTAAATTCCTTAACAGCAAACCAGTTTCATTGAACCAAGAGGTTCCCTCCGACTTTTCGGCGCCGTCAACCGGCAGGAAAGTCACAGGCGCTTCTGGCATGGGCCAAGCAATGCCTTGGGGAGCTTTCCTCTTGGTACCGGATACACCAGAGCGCAGCTTGCCATTGTAGCTGGCAACAGAGGGGAATGCCGCAATAGCTGGATGCATGCGGTACTGCACGTCCAGCATGAACGGCTCAACTCCATGAGAGGACAGTCGCTCGAAAAGGGAAGTTCCTAGGCCCTCAACATCTACATCAACGTTGCTGATGGTTGGGGGGAGCTGTCGGTGGTCACCCACAAGAGTCACCACACCGTCCGCCCTCATCTTCATTAAGGGGACCAGCACCGCCAGTTCAGTTGTCTGGCCAGCTTCATCAATTAGCACGCAACCAAAGTCCTTGCCCTGTAGGACTGGATGGTCTGCACCAGCACAAGTACTGCAAACCACCTCTGCATCCTCCAGGATGGCCCTCTGGTGAGCAAAGTGACCCCTGTCCTCGGCGTTGGGATCCTGCGCTTTGGCATCCTGCAAGCAAGGAAGTCAGGCAGGAAATGTTCTTGTTAAACTTGTGACGAACTGCAGCTGCACTGCAGCCTTCACCATTTCAAGGAGGTTGTACTTCTCAAGGTCATAGCGGGTCGCTTCAGGTCGGCCAATCCGCACGACCTTCAACCCAGCTTTGGCGCAGCCTGCGGTCAGATTGTCCACCTGCAGGCAAGGCTGTTTCCACTGACGTGGCTGAGCAGGTGGACCCAATGCAAGCAGAGCCACAGCAATGTTGCTATCAGCGCAGCAAAGCACTGGCCCACGCCGCGCAGCCGTCCTCACGTCTTGGGGCTAAGTTGCTCTCCACTCACGTTTTTGCAGATGCTTGCGGGGTCCAGCCGCGGACCAGCAGCAGCGCGGTGGTGGTCTTCCCGGCTCCCGGTGGACCCTGGATGAGAGTGAGCCGCCTCAGTGGACACGAGGCTGCCTCAACGCACTTTTAAAGAACGGGCCCTGGCTCCCACCTGCAGCCAGCTGCCAAGAGAGCCTCCCTCTGGGAGTCATTGCATTCCTCACCCATGCAGACTTTTGGGGTCCAATTGAGCTGAGGGCTGAGACATTACGAGGAGGCCCTTGGTGACAAAAAAATATGCGTAAACTTACTAAAGAAATACGAGCAATAGTTTCTGAAAGCAATAATTGCAGCAACAGCAATAAGAATTGCAATAGTATGAACCATAGCACGTAGTAGAATAGTTATAATGCTCTTGAGTTCAAAGATCTGCCCTGCCTTGACCAGGGGGGAGTGGTGGGAGATGCCGGCTCCCTGAAACTCCACCTTGGCGAGGCCAGCTTCCCTTCCCATCAGCCCATTGTCTGCGGCCAGCAGCACCTCCTGAGCATATGAGCTATAATCTACACTCCTAGCATCCCCCCGCCCCCCTTAAAAACCACCATACTTAAGGAGTGTAGACGGTAGCTCATAGAGCCCGCTCTTAATGCAGATAGGAGATAGAGTATGCTGTATACCGGGATCTTATTATGCTGTCGGGCACTTCCCATGTTCTATCTACTTAATTGGGACTAGAGACAGACAAGGCGGAAGAATCAACTGTCCTTGCTTTAAGGTTGAAGGGTGAGAGCATCTGTCCTTCAGCCAGGCCGGCGAGTTGGACTCCTTGCTCTTTCCCTTCTTTCCTTTCTTGCCGCCCTCTGGCTCAGGCTTCTTCTTTTCATCGTGCGTGGCTCCGCCAAGGGTGATCTGAACAGCTGGGAGATGCTCAGAAGAGACATGAAGGCTTAGGGGTAAATGGAAACTATAGGGATTATAGGGATTTTATAGGGTTTATATATATGGATTATAGGGTATATATTGGGGTTATAAATAGGGATAATGGAAAAGACAATGGAAACTACTACAATGGGCTGCTATGACATGCTATGAGGTCAAGCGGCCAGGGCGTTCAGCTGACGGCCCAAGGTGACGTGGTTGGCCACACGATCGACTCTGCAGGTCTTCTTGTTGAACTTTTCCCCTCGCAGCCACACGCAATACATAAGAAGCACCACAAGAAACTAGTCACATCTAGTGATCCAGTGGCCTGCGTTCTTGCCGAGCTCGCCCACCATCCTGACCAGTATCCCTTGTCCGGGGGGCGGGATGATGTTCACAACCTCTGCTTCCACGCTCACGTCGCCACGTGTGGTGACACTGATGCCTGGAGTCCCTGTCGGAGGGAACGTGACCAGCAACCAGTCGCCGCGCTGAAAACCGTGGCCAGCAGGCAGCAGCCCGGCACCAGGGCTCAGCATCACGTGTGAAGGGCTCTTTTCGGACGGAGCTGCCTGGAAAAGAAGCGGCATGTTGACAGGCATAGCCGTGAAGAACTGATCCGAAAAGGTCTAATGTGGGCCGCCTCCATCAGCGGGATACACACCCCCAGCCTTTCGAGAATGTGCGCTGGTGTTGCTGTGGCCTGCTGGGGCAAGGACTGGTTAAACGCATGCTGACTCGTGCGTTGATCTAACTTCTTCGCCTGATCAACAGCGGACGCTGCTTCGGACAAGAACTCCCTCAGGGCCCATCTGGCGAAGCGGCCAAAATAGGAGTGCGCCTGAATCGCAAAAATATGACACAGAAAGGGCAGGCTTTTCATGCAGAGCTTAGAAACCTGCAGGTCACTTCGCAAGTCGCAGTCTCCCCTTGATGACTCAGCTTCCTGGCTGTTAGTGGTAGGGAATCAAGGAATATAAGTCCTATGATATAATCCCTCTATACTATATCCCATATTCTCTACCTCATAGTCCCTACTCAAAACCCGGAAGTAAGCTGAGGAACTCCGTAGGAAGGGAACTTGGGAAGCCCCAAGGCATCCAAGGCATCCAAGAATTTCAGGGCCAGCTCCTGAAACAGGGTAGAAGGGTTTAGGGTTTAGGGTTTAGGATTTATGGTTTAGGGTACCATCATGCATCCTTTGTACTATGTACTCCGATCGATCATGATTGCTAGTACTCCTGTTAATATTACTATTGCTATACCTGTATAAACCATATGATATAGTAGCTTCCATTCTCTTTCCATTATCCCTATATAACCCCTATATCATACCCTATAGTACTGTTACCCTGCCATAGCCCATGGCCTGTGGTGTCCGCAAACCAACGGCGCTGACCAGCTGCCCAAGCCTGGGTTGCGGTTAAGGAACTTAATCTAACTTACCATAATGG